TTTTTTTCTACTTTTTTTTTTTTTTTTTTTTGTTACTCAATATGTGTTTTGCATGCATTTCCAAGAAAAACCCAACACTCCGTCTTCATTTGCAAAATGTTTGTGTAGATAACAAAAATGCAGCTATTGGAAAATTATGATCTCACATACACAAACATGACCCTTGCTTGATCCCAAACATGCCGGATAAAGCAACAGGAAACTTTAACCACATGGCCTACGCCTCTTTCTTTACTGTATTTCTATACTGCCACATGGATGCCTGTTTTTGTTTTGTATGTTTTGTACTGATGGCGGTACGGGTGCTTTCAAAAAACCACGAAGATGAAGCAAAGACAAAGAAAACGTTATGAGACCCTATGTTCCCATTTAGGCAGTGGTTAAAAGTCTTAAAGCTCATGTTTACCTAATTATCAGCCTGTTGTATTTTCCACATGCACCTGAATCGTACCCTCCCTTTGTGGTCGACCCTAATGTCCAGGTTCAATCTCACCCTCCTTTCAGCGTTATTTTGTGTATTAAAGACCTAATTTGACATCTGCAAGGAAGCACAGCTCCGTCTTCCTCTTTAAAACTTTTTTTCATTCTTGAATGAAGCACAGGTGACCATACAGCAACAGGTTCTGGAATATTTTCAAATGTTTTTAGCTGTTGCACGTTTTTTTTTTTTTTTTCATATCAAACATAACAGAATGCTAACGCTGCCTGCAGTTGCAGGCAGCGTTAGCTGGACCGGCATCTTCTTTGTTCTCGTCACCATGAGGAGGCTGCATGGTGGGTTCCCCCCAAACAAAGCCTGTCCTAACTCACCCACACCCCACTCAGGGGAACCCAGAGCGAGCGAGGTGACGACCAGAGTCGATCAGCACGGGGTTGTTTACACTCTCTGGACCACACAGACAAGACTCGGTCAAGACGGCATATGTACACCATGTGTGTCTCAATTACAGACGGGGGCCATTGCTGGACAGCCGCTCAGATAAAAGGGGATGGATGGTGGATGGGGCTCACACTTTGTTGTAGAAACGCTAATATATTCCTCCCTGTTTCACGCTGTCTGTTAATGTCCCACAACAGAAAGCTAAAACTTGGATCATCTTTCAGTAAAGACTTCCAGCAGGGCAGGTTTGCAAAAACAGCATCCAGAGACGATGCAAAGGTCTGAAATCTCCCCAAGTATTGTGAACTCTACTTGGGTAGTAGTCCAGTTTTATCTGGGGGAAAGTCGAAGACAAAAAAAGTCAAATATGGCTGGTCCTGCGTTACTGAGTGAACTGCAAGTCTAGGTGATGATTTTAGGGCTGTGTCCAAGTCTGAGGCTGTGAAATGTGGGAATTTTTCCTTTTCCACATCTGACGTATTTGGCATTGTTTTAATAGTGAGAATATGTTTATGTTAAGAGTTCAGAAGGCATGGGCCCATATCAGATTTTCATGGTATGACAACGTTGAGTAAAAATACCACGCTTTTATGCTATTATGGTATTTACACAAGATCTCACTACTTTTCAAGCAAATAAGTACATTATTTCCTATATGGCTGCTAAAATCATGTAACTTATTCATGATTGCAGTTGTATTAATAATGTACTTCCCTCTAATTCACGGCCATTTTGATTTTGAAACAGTCTTAAAATAAAGAATACCTACAATAATAAACCTTTTTTTTCTAATTGTCCTCTATTTGGAGAAACACAAGATGTTCTTTTAAAACATTGCTACTTCAACAAGAGTCCTCCAAGCCAACAGAGGCTTTCAACAGGCCCTAATTTTCCAAAAGAAGATGGATTTCAAAACCTCAAAATGTAATGACGTTTGCCAAGAGACAGCCAATTTTAATAATCCCTTTAGAATAATTCTGGAAAGCACAATCAAAATAATTTTAGGATTTTTCTTTTTAACATTTTTTTTGTTTATTTTTACTTTAACATCTACGCTCACTTTAGATTTATGAGGACTGGCAACTGGCAACATCCAAAATGACACTTAATGGTTTGACAGATGTGTTATCGTAATTTGATCCCAGTGCTGCAGTTTAGTCATTTGAAAGCTGTATATTAAAATGCTGTATATCAAACACAATTGCCAGACCATAAGTGACTCAGACGCCCAAAATACACAATTTATTTACAGATGTCATGTACTTCAAATGGGACGAGGTATTAAGGTCACTTTAAAATTTTAAAGAAAGCACAGAGTACCTTTAGCATGTTTTAAAAAAAAATCTATAAAGGATAAGAAATCAAGTCAAAAAGGTTTAGATTAAAGTTCAAAAACTAAATTAAGATTAAAGTCAAAATACTGAGATAGACTTGAGTTAAAATGCCAAAAAACTAAATATGGTTTCAAAAAAAATTACATAGAAGGTAGATTACAGTACACTAAACCAGCAAAGATATAGCGTAGGATAAAATGTTGTGATTACAGCATTTTTTTAAAATTATTTCCCATAAATGATCTTGTCTTCATCATCAGCCTTCAAATGTATCATAAATTAAGAAATAAAAAAATAAAAAAATACATCCTTGTTTTTTTCCTATGCATCGTCATATAAAGAGACGTTTTATTCTAAGTGTTATAGAAAAGGGCTGATCACAATTCATTACAACCTGAATTTAAGCAATTCATGGTTAGCTGGCTAAGTGATCAAACGCTATTTGAAATGCATAAAGCAAAAACGATCAAACTACGGTCAAATATGAGACATTAGTGATGCTGTGGTGAAAACTCAATGACTTGTGGATCCCAAATCAGATTCTGCTTTGGACCCCACATAACCTGAGGTTACAAGACAAACATTTACAAGTTTGTCTGGTAAATGTAGTACATGCAGCTGAATGGCAGTGCGCAGCAAGGAGTTGTGTCTTCCTGTATGTAGCCATAGAAAATTCTGGTTACTTTCTCAGACTTTCTCACCATATGGATTTAAAACATACAAGCAGCTTGATGGGACTTACTAGCGTTTTTAAATTGTATCTGTTTAAACCTTGAAATAACACAGGAAATATTAAAACAACTTTTTCGGAAGCATAAATCACAATATTGTTTGAACTCTGAACACAACATCCTTTTCATGGATTGCTCTTGGAGGGATTTGGGGAGGGAGATAACCTGCGGTTAATGAGCATACATGAGTTCAGACACACACCATTTCCAGCCGTACTTGCAGCTGGATTCTCATTCAAAAACAACAAAAGAAAACAGCATCTTTAGTGCACAACTCCAGCAAAACAACAGCATGGGAAATTAATTAAAGTGGACATTTTAATGGTTCCTCAGCTGAAAAGTTAACTCCACACAAATAAAAGAAAAAAAATACATAAAAGTCTGAGCTTTTAAATACGACTAAATTTGTACTTTCGCACTGCATTTTTTCTTTTTTTCTTTTTCTTCTAGAGAAAACAAACAGGAACCCTGGAAACGCCCAGCGAGCCCTGGGAGGCGAGCGCATCCTCCAGCCGGACGGACTGACATGCAGCCTCCCGTACCTCCTGACACTGACACGCTCTCCAGATCACAGCGTGAGCGATGATCAATCAGAATGCCATCCACAGACTCATCATCACACTCACTGATTGCAACTTTTGCTTTGAGGAATCCTCTGTGCTGCATCATCACAGACAGCTGCTTCCATGTCTCTGTGTGCAGCAGTGTCACAGGAGATCTGAAAGCCAGAGCTACAATATCCCCGCAGTATTTAAGGACAGTGAGCCGTGAGGACTGATGTGAAGAAGGCGGAACGACAGTAAGATAAAAAGCTGTGGATGTGACACTGAATACTCGGCTTTGTTTATCAGAGGCACAGTTGTTTGGGAAAAAAATATATATATTTCCAATAAAATGCTTAACTGGGTGAGTCAATTTATATAGAAAAAAATATATTTTATTTACTTTCAGTAAAGCTTGACAACTTTTTTTTTGATAGATACACCAATAAGAGATTCAAATCCATTGATTGGCTCTGATTGTTGATCGGTAGATCAACTGCTGAACAAAAGAAAGTGTTTTCATATCGATTAAAACTGCTAATTCCCATTATTGCTGGTGTGTATGCACATCAAACAACACAGTACTTTAATGGGATTTTTTAAATATTTTTTTTATAGTTTAAAAAATGAACATAAAGGTTAGGCAATCATGTCTTGATGCAAAAGATGCACAAATCTTCTTATCAAAGTGTCTGCAGCTCTTGTTCTTTCATGTTTCTTATCAGAAAGTCAGACCTCGAGGACAACCGGAAATCAGTCATAGCCAAAAAAATAAGTTTGAACAGAATAACTCTACTTCTTTATTATAATTTCAAACAGGCTGCTTTAGGAAATGTTATTAAAAGCAGATATGCAAAATTGCTTCTCAAAATCTGGGCGTTTGTAAGAAAAAGCGTGTAAAATAGACAAGACTTGAAGTGCTTCTAATTTTTAATTGGAAATATCGGAAAGTGGCTTAAAAGAGTTTCTTGTTGAAGCTGCACAAGATATTGAATCACAATTATAATTGAAATATCAGGCCATGCAAAGTTCCAGTCACAAAGGATGGCTGGAATGCAATGTTTGGTGTTAAGCTCAGGGAGAGTGCTTGATGGAAAACAAACAAACTGGTGATGGAAAAGAAAAAGAGGAGAGGTGAAAATATGGGAATGTTGTAATCAGCATCGTAAATTCAGCATAATAACAAAGTGCTGTTTTTATAATATCTCTCTACCTAATAAAATATGCAAAGCATTCAATCACTCCAAAGCGCCTCGTAATACAATACAATGCTGAAAAAAAAAATCAGATTCGTAATTGGAATTGTATTAAAGCTTTATAGTTTTTTTTTTTTCATTATTATTTACTGCTCAAGATTCACAAAATTCCCTTAAAATAGAATAAAAAAAAACAATGATTAAAAGTAAGAACTTAAAAAAAAGAAAAAAAACACAAACCCCAAACTCGAGGGGATGAAGAAAAGAAAAAAAACAAAGCAGAAAGAGAAAAGCTGACCGGGACAGGAGCCTCTTACCTGGTCCCTCTGGATGCATGGCAGAGAGGTCCGTCGGTGTGACTTACTGTTGGACTGACTGTGTGCCATGTCTGAGGCTACAACTGAACTGGACCTCCTGCGCCTTTTAAATACAGGAATCTCTTCCCTGGCTCCGGTCACGGGGGTGCAGCCCTCCTTGTGCGTCTCTTGTTTAGGCAGGAGCCTGTCAGCATACCTCGCCAGCAGGATGCCCAGCACTCCGACCAGGTACGCCACGTACGGTCTCCAGGCGGCTCGCACTTTGTGCAGCGACAGGAGCGAGACGGTCCTGGCCACGCTGATGAGAACGATCACCGATGTGCCCTGGTTCAGCCGAACTACCATGAGTACTCCAGCGACCGCGCAAAGGAGCACGACCCCGGCCGCTGTGGCGGACGAGAGCAGCTGCTCATCTGTCCCGTCCAGAAGGGACCACGCCGCGACTTCGCCCAGGTGGCACAAGGTCAGGAGGGAGAGGAGGGTCTCGATCAGCACCCCGCAGTGGATCAAGTACACGCCGACCCAGAAGAAGGCACACACGAGCGCAAACAGCAACGACAGCGCACTCCAGCAAGTTTGCAACAGCTCGGCTGCGCGGTCTGAAACAAAGTGGAGGAGGGACGGTGAGGGCGAGAGTGTGTTGTCAGCGCTGCTGCTGCTGCTGCTGCTGGCCTCAGCTGTCCAGCCTGCGCATTTGACCAGAGCGGCGAGAAAGACGGAGAGCGAGCCCACGCACGCAGCCCACCGGACCCTCTGGGAGCTCCAGAGTTTGTTGAACATCAGCCTGAGCCACGCTTCACAGTCCGGGTCTCTGCACCGCGGGGTGACGCGTGTTTTCACATACCCGTTGCGATCCGGCGCGCCGAAGCCTTTCGTACGAGTGCTGCTCTGCGTACCGGTGGTACCGCAAGCCTCTGCAGACATCGCCATCACTCATGGCCCGATATGAAGTATGAGGAAGTCTATAAAGCATCTATACAGGTGTGGTCAGGGGGAGGCCAGGGCTTGAGTTAAGTGTGGAAAAAAGATAATAATAAAAAAAAACATACATAATGTTCGATGCGAAATGTTGGGAAACGCATAGGACGAAAACGCACACCCGTCTCTCCTTTTACGCATGGGTCTGTTTTGTCTTCTCTTTGTTCTCCAGGTGCGGGACGCAGAGCTGCAGTAGAAAGGAGCCTGGGTGACAGCAGGGCTCGGAAGCTGTGCTACAGATCTGGGGCATCGCTGCTCTCTGCACGCACGTCCCGCTCGGCCCTCTCTGGCGCGCCTTCTTTCACGTTTTCTGTCATTCTCTCTGCTTTCAGAAACCAGGAAACAGCAGGAGAACCTCGGAAAAGAGGGAAAAAAAAAAAACATCAACCCCGTTCGGCCGCCATCCGGACCATAAATGATCTGTTTGTCCTCCTACTGAAATGACATTAAACAGTCCCTCCGGTGCACTTCCGAGGATAAACTCCTTTTGGCGGATTCAAGCTGCGAAGAGCGAGTGTCCGCTCGGCGTTTTCTCCAACAGATCCGGAGCGTTTTGTCACCAGCTCTCCAACCAAGCCGGGAGTGTCAGCTTATTCACACCCCCGAGTTCCCAACTTTTTACACAGGGAGCAGCGGTGAAACCCACCAAATCCCCCTGTGCCAGCCCAGAAGGAGTATTTCTGCAACTGACTGAGGTTTAGTTGTTTTTGTTGGGGCTTTTTTTTTCTTTCTTCTTCGTTTTAGGATACTTTATGTTTTCTTTTTGTGGGCTATGAAAATATAATGTCTGCTAATATTTATTTAATACAAAGAAATATGTGTGAAACAAATATGACTTTATTATTATTATTATTATTATTATTATTATTATTATTATTATTATTATTATTATTATTATTATTATTGCAAAGTCTTCTTGAAAATTATAATGTACTGGAGGAGCCACATTTCAGGCCATGTGACATGTTGGTGGGCACATTTTGATTTGTGGCCCTGGTGTAATGTTGTTGCGAGGCTGCCAAGGTAAATTTTCCATCTACAACCAGTGCCTTGCAAAAAAAAAAAAAAAAAAAAAAAAAGACTCAGATCCGTTTAAGTTTTTAGCATTTTGTAACATTAACCCGCAAAATTTAGTGTATTTCATGTCGATTTTATGAAATGTACTAAAACAAAGTAGCGCATAATATAAATCAAAAGTGAAAGTGATGGTTTCCAAGTGTAGAAAATAAGGGAAAAGAAAGATCTGAAAGGTGTGTGGTACAATCAATTGCCTTCCAAAGTTTCCTCCGTAGTAAATGGAGTCCACTGGTGTGCAATGAATGCAATAAAGACAACTGCTCTGATCAGTGAACAAACATCATCCTGGAGACCAACGAACACTCAAGGCTTGGCGGGTATACAGTCGTGAAAAAGTTTGAAGCAGGTTTGGTCATGAAACAATATCCCATTCTTATAAGATCTACAGAGTAAATCTTAGGCCATCATTCAAAAATATAGGGCCACTAGAGTTAAATGGTGCATCGCAAATTTATTGTTGTTGCAATATTTCTTCATATGATGTGCATAACCCCAAGAACTGCAGGGATGACAATAAGTGCTAGCTGACTTTGTAAACATACGACACATTCAGGTGATCAACATGTAATTCATGATGAGTTGCACTTGTCCTTTAATGCCCCATAAACATTTGGAGAGGGTAGGGAGATGTAGAGATGATTAAATTATCTTGCAGTGGACCGCTAGCATTGGGGGTCAGGAACCACAACCACCCACGATGTGTCCAGTAGCATCTGGCCTGGATATGTGATACAATTTTTTTCCCCCAACTGTTTTAGGACTCCCTAAAACAAAACAAAGAAATTTGGTGGATAAGCGATTTTTCTGCAAATAATTTGGAGTTACTGAAACCATAAGTAGGCCACTATATGGCACAACTGAGAACCTGACAAGGAGAGAATTAGTCAAGCAAGCAGCCAAGAGACACAAAGTAACTCAGGAGGAGCTGCACAGATCCAAGCCTCGGGTGGGATTGTCCGTTTATAGGACTGCTGTTGGGTACGTGCTTCAGAAATGTGACCTGTGTTTAGTAGTCACAAGAAGGAAATCTTTGTTAGCAGAAGATTCTTTGACAAGCCTTAAAAACTGCCATTTACTGAGTCTCCATCCAATCTGATTAAGTTTGAGCTTTACTGCCAAGAAAAATGAGCAGCAAGTTGTCGTGTCTAGATGGCTGGCGGTACATACCAAAAGGGACTTCCAGCTGAAGCTACAGAAAAAAGGCTGTTCCATAGAAGTATGAAATAATACTTCTATGGAACAAGTATTTCTTCATTCCATTTGCAAGTAAATGCAAAATGCAAATGTCAATGCAAATGCAAGGCACACCTTTCTAATTTTAATCTATATCAACTTGGAATCATGTTTGTTCCCCTTCACAGTTATGCACTTCCTTGTTGGTATTTCTTCATGTAAAATAAAAATAACATCAAAGTTTGTTTGCAACTTGAGTATAAACACTTTTGGCATGACACTTAACATGGTTTGGGATGCATTCATATTTAATAAAAGGAAGTAAGCACAAAAATATATCCGCTTTGCATGCGAGCTTGTTTACCACTAGAAATTGCAATAGTAGGGGTTTGCAACTTCAGTCCACGAGTTCTTCTGTCCTGCAATTATTCCCTATGTCCCTCTTTCAGCACACCTGAATCAAAAGGCTGAATTGCCTCTGTTGTATATCAGAAGGTTTTGCGTAAGCCTGTTCAATAAACACTCTTTTGACTCAGGCGTGTTGGACCAACGATGCATCCAAAGGTTGCAGGACAGTAGAAACCTCTGTTCCAACAAGGATCCTTTGGTTGCTCCTAAATTCAACTCTAAAGGATCTTCTCTCCTCAATGTTGAAATATTCATCCGGTCCTCCCACTCTTGGTGTCACCAATGAAGGGCAGTGAGACTTAAATTAATGTTTCAGCTCTGTATAATCCTTGGGGTGCATTAATGAAGTACATGCATGTTTCTTTAAATGTGCATGAATTTTTCTCTGGATCGCATTCGCTCAAATTAAGTGGATACGTGCTGCATGTAAACACAAACATTTTTAGGCAAGCATAGCCATTTTTATGTGCAGCAGCACAGACTCAGGGCTGTTTAACATCTGGTCATTTTGAACACACTTGGATAGATTTCTTTGCAAGCTGGCAAAGAACCCATACGAACCTTAACAAAAATCCACCTTCACTTAGAAAAAGTATAATTTCACTCTAAAAGAAAACTCATGTTGACCAAAATAGTTTGTCTCCTGGAAAGTTCAGCAAACTCCACATGTTTAGAATTGTGATGTTAGGAAAGAAAAGTTTATTTTTGTTTTTTTCATGCACTCTCACCCGCCAAACTCTGGCTGGCATAGCATCTAATGGCCGTGGTGGGGACTTGGCTCCAAATTCTGCATTTAGCTGTCGTTATCTAACAGTGGGAGGTAGAGATTTCTCCTCCCTCCCTCCCCACTTCCCTTCGGTCGTGGCTTGAGGCAACTAAAAACACATACATTTAAAAAATGTTCCAGTTAAAATTGATCAATAATTTTGGTGGGATTTTGATCGGAACAAACATTCCCAAATGACCAAACGCAAATACCAAACTTTCCAATGAGACGTTATGACATATACAGATCTTTTTAATTGTACACATCTTTACCAGGGCTGGCCAAAAAATGTCATCCAAATCTAGAACATTTTGAACAAAAACATCAAAAAGTCTCCTTCATAGGTCAGAGAGCTGCTTCATTTCTATGCACCCATCTTCTTCCTGTCCCTGAATCCTCTCTCTACCTCAGCCTATTCTAGCGAGCTGACACAGGTCAGCGTGACTCTGTGGCATATACGAGGCGCTGCATATCCTCCGTCAGCTGCGATTAGTGAGAAGCAGGGGGAGGAGAAGGAGTGCTAACAGGGAGCGATAGGAACAAGAGGAGGAAGGATCCCGTCCATCACCCCTCAGCACATGTTTACCGCTCGCCCAACAGTTCTCCCATGGTGCAGTGCATCAAGAAAAAAAAAAAAAACAGAAAAAAAAAGACGTCTGTTGGCTCTGAGCCCAACCTCTGTTTTGTCACAAACATTTGTCTCTCACCTTATCAGAGCCTGGAGGTAACTTTTCGTTCCCCTCCGGCTGAGGTGAAACAATGTCACTTTATCTAAATGTTTTATTTTCTAGGTGACAGGAACAGAAACATTTCCTCTTCGAAAACTTAAGATAGGAGCGTGACAACAGAAAGACCGAGTTGGAGTCAGCAAAAAAAAAAAAAACAGCATCAGAGCTGCAACAAATTTGTTCCCTTTTTTTGTTTTTCTTTGTTACGTTGAATAAAATCCTTTGTGTCAGGGTCAAAGGGCTGTTCTGTTTAGATGTGATGCACACAATGAATTTCAATATGTTGTAAGATGAAAATTACACAATTTATGAAGCAGAACCGCTTGAATCTAGCCTGCCACAGCTGTGAGTGGTTATAAACACGCTTTATGATTCCTCCACTCTGAGTTTGTAACAGATGAAGCGGAGTGACGACAGTCGTCACTGTGCGCCCGGCGTCTCAAGACAGGCTCATTGTGAAATTTTCTGCCACTCCACAAAACAGGTCCAGCAGAGGCCATTCGGAATTACCCGGAGGAATTTTAACGACTCGGGAATGCACATGTTACCTTCTTACCCTATTAGGCAATGTCGTGGTCCATTGTGAAACAGGAATCTTTTATGAGGGGCAGTTCATCAGACATCTGGTTTTGATGTTGAATAAGGGGCAACTGTCAGATGTGACCCCGTTCAGACCTGCGCTGGCTTCTGCAGCAGCTGCTGACAGGTCAGACGTCACATGAGAAACTGACAATTATTGGTTGCATTTGTATTCGGCCCTAAGAGTCGATACTTTATAAAACAACCTGTTTAGTTTGTCTCTGCAAGCTGTGCAAATGTAGAAACCGAAACATTCCTACGCATTCCTCTTTTAAGAGCAGCTCAAGGTTAGGTTGGGTGGAGGATATTTGTGAAAGTCAACTTTCAAATTTTGCCACAGATTTTTTTATCGGAC